GCACAATACCTGTTGTCATTGACACACGATAATCTATTGGGTATTACATGTAACCAGATATTTAAAATATCTGTAACGCCTGGGATTCTTTCAAACCACCAGACTTGCAACTATATCAATATGTCGTCTTTTTTCATCGTTCGTCGTTCGTCGTTCGTCGTTTTCTTTGCTGATTTCTTCTTCTTCTTCTTTTACGTTGTTTCTTTGTTGTTGTCTTCTTTTCTTCTTCTTCAAGTACTTCTTTCTTCGTTGCTGCTTAGCCAAATACTAACGCTCTTTTACGACGACAAGATAAAAAAACATCAATATTTGTTGCCCCCTGGCCACCACGTTGAGGTGCAGCAACATGGCCAGGTTATCTGTAAATAATAAATGCAAAAGGTTCGAGTGTCAAGAATTTATTATATGAGAAAATAAATATATATATTAATATGTGTGTGGGAGTTTTGTCCTTAATAATGGCGATATATATTCCCACAAAATAATTTATTTATTATATAATGAACGAATAATACTTTTTATCATTAAATATAAATGAATAATACCTTTTATCATTAAATGTTCTTAATATTCTTAATATTCAAAAAATTCCGGAGATATATTCAAAGATAGATAAATAAAAAAAAGATAATGTCAACCAATTGTTATTATTATGTGATAATAATTACGTCAGAATTTGTAAATTATTTCCATATTTATAGCAAAATAGTCTAATTTTCGTGGTACATATGTAACCAAAGTTTGACATCAGCAAAATGAACTTGGGTACACGTTACACGGTTTGCGGCTTGTGAGGTTTATTTGTGTCCAGTATCTTTAACGCAAGTATTGATTTATAGAAGCAACAAGCTTATAACTGAGAACGCAATGTGAGCTTTTGCTTTTCGTGTTACAAAACACACATACCGTGCTATGCGAGAATAAAAATTCAATTAAGTTGGTTTTGCGTCTTCTTCGTCGCAAAGAGCAAAAAAATGACATCACTCGGGCCAAGACAATAGTCTATTTTATTAAATTCGAAACATATAAATAGGACAGCCCTCCAAACTTTTTTTTTTGTTATTTTTCGTAGAGAAATTCCTCTCGGGCCATTTCAGCGCACGGAACTCAACCCTCTACATTCGACCACATGAAATAATTGTTCGTTATTATTATCGTCCTGGTAACACAAAATTGATTGATTGACCAATTAAAATCGTGAATTTAAAAATAAAACATTTAATTGTGGGTTTGATTCATTTCGTCACAATCACTTCACGAACAATTGTTTCATTAACAAATGGTTCAAATTTAAGAAGTTGGAAGCAACCATTTGAAATAGTCTAATAAATTAAACCGTACTACTCGAAAATGTATTTAAAGGGTTGGTTTTCGACTTGGTTGAAGAATAACTCTCTTCCTAACTCTTCTCTTGACCATATCTCTCGATATAATCAAAATAACCTTAATATAACGAATGTCAAAATAATTGCAAACGTGACCAATTTAAGATATACGATCAAGAGAAAACATGAACGATGTATGAAAAATCAAGTTAACAAATGATTCGAATTTAAGAAGTTGGGAGCAACCATTTGAAATAGTCTAATAAATTAAATCGTACTACTCGAAAATGTATTCAAAGGGTTGGTTTTTGACTTAGTTGAAGAATAACTCTCTTCCTAACTTTTCTCTTGACCATATCTCTCGATATAATCAAAATAACGAATGTCAAAATGATTGTAAACGCGATCAATTTAAGGTATACGATCAAGAGAAAACATGAACGAAATCAAACAAATTTATATTTAATAAAATAAAATTTACAACTCGAAAAAATTTTTTTTTGCATGTAATAAGATTTCATTATTAACTATTAAGAATCTAATTATATAGATCTTGACCGATCAAACTCGCCTATATAGCTATTGAATAATAAAACGTTAATTAAATATCTTTTACAAACAGCTTCGTAGATCTCGACCTTAAGACTTACTTTGATCAAACCCGCCTATAATAATAAACGTTCATTTTGAAAACTTGATTTGCAATAGATCTTGACTTTAACACTTACTTCTACCAAACCCGCCTATATAATTATTTGAATAATTGATAAAGCGCTCATTAAATATACTTTACAAGCAGATTCACAGATCTTGACTTTTAACACTTATCTCGATACAAGATATTCAATAATTGATAAACGTTCATCAGTATACTTTACAAACTTGCTTTGTAAGCTTCGTATGTCGTCACACATCTTGTATTTAACAGTCTACTTTTTCTGTTGAATTTTTTTATTTTTTTTAGATTACACAATAAAAATTATGGAATAAATTTAATCCAATGAAATGGTTGGTATCCCATATTTT